ACGCGGTTTACCTCGGCGTTATTCCCGGTACATATTCCACGGCAGGCAGGGGAGGGGGGCGGGGCGGAGGGGGGTAAATATATACACCGGTGCAGGAACAACACAAATTTGCGTGGCCCGACTCCGGACCCATGTCCTCTTTCGCGGAACGAGATGGGGGGGGGTCCGCCGTGCAAGAGCGGAAGTCGCAGCCGTTCTTCAAGCTCGCCAAAAGACTTCCTAGCCTACACAAAATCCCGGGATAAAGATTCTATTTAGATCGTTTCGCCTGTGCTACACACAGGGCGGACTGTCTCTCACTCGCCTTTAACCCTAGTCCTCGCCTTCTGTTGGTAGCAAATCTTTATCAAACAGAACATACAAGCTTTGAACACTCAACCCTAATTTTGTTATATCATGGAAGAGGCCTCACCCTACCAGTCCAGCTGATGAGACTCAAACCTCGGGGAAAGGCCACGAAAAACGGGATGGAATCCTTAAAATGGTTACACGGAACGGTTACACCGCTGACTCTACAACCGTTTGTCGAGACCTGCCAAGGCGCACATCTCGCTGCCTCGCTCCAACAATAAGGGCAGAGTGAGCATGCTACACCAACGTCCGATGTCATGATCGAAGTCAGATGGTGGAGGACTTTCTCGTCCGCCCTCCGCCGGCCCTTCAACGCACCACACACCCGAACGATCGACGTGCGTACGCATGCTCACGGCGCCAGAGCTAACCAACTACCCGGGTCATCGAACTCCTGTACACAGGAGACGCCTCCCACCTTGATAATTCACAACCCCCCGCGGGAGCCATGAGTCACCACCTCCGCACCCCGCTGGCACGCAAACCCTCTCACCTTCCCCTTCCCCCCCCCGTCCTCGTCCTCGTCACTGTCAGAGTCCGCCCATCGATCCTTCCCGGCTGGCTTACTTACGGCCTCCACGCCCGCTCCCCCCCCTGGGCTGTAGTTCTCTCCCCGGGGCGGAGACGACGGCGATGAGCGCGTCGCGCTCGCGCCGCCGCCACCGCCGCCACCGCCGTCGACGCTCCCGCTGCTAACGCTGCTGCCGCCGCCGCCGCCGCCGCCGCCGCCGCCGCCGTTCGCGGAAGCGGAGGCATCTCTTCTTCTGGGAGCGCCGCGCGGCGAAGACGAGCCCGACAGCAACACCTCGCCCTCCTCTCCGTCGCCGGCTACGGCAGAGGACTTGCCGGCTGCGCCGCCGGCAGCGGAGGAGGAGGAGGGCTTCGCACCGGTGCCGTTGGCGACGCCTTCCATACCCTTGACGGCGGAGCCTGCCTCTCCACCCGCGTCGATGGCTCCGTTTATATCCACCCTCCCCGAGCGTTCCCCGGACGAAAACCCGCCGCTACTTCTGCCGTTGCCGGCGGCCGCGTTAACGGCCGCCTCCTCCGGCAAATCCGCTAACCGTCTGCCGCCGCCGCCGCCGCCGCCAGCACTGCCCCCGCTCCCTCCGCCGCTGCCGCCGCTGCTGCCGTTGGCGCCGCGGTGGCTGCTGAAGTCGCCCCTGCTTCCGCTGCTAGATCGACCGCTCCCATGGTCACCGCCGCTCCCGCTGTCCCTCCCCCGACCTCGAGCGCTGCCGCGATCGCTGTCTCGCGAGCGTTGCCGGTCCTTGGCATTGCCATCTCTACGGCTGCTGCGGC